TTTATGCACATGCTGAAAAGTAAGTGCTTGTCACCTGTCTTGGCTGGGCTGTTCTTGTGGGTGTCTCTTCATTCGGTGTTCTGTGGCTCCCTTGGTCCTCTTCCTTTCCCTCCCCCAATGAGCCTAGTTTAATGTTTAATCTGACCATTTTAGTTGCTATCAACAGTGTTTTTTGTCTTAGAAGTGATCTGCATCACATTATATTATGTAAGTATTATGACTGGATGATAAATATGTAGGATAAAAAAGATTGAATTAAGCCCAGATATTTGTGCTGAAGTTCCTGGAAATATTGTGTAATATAAAATAAACTTACATATATTTAGAGAACATTTGTAACGATAATACTTAGCAAGATCATACTTAGATCTCAAAGAACTCTTCAAATGGGGCGAGTATCAATATATTTATTGCATAGAGAGGAAAAGCAAGGCATAGAATATTTAAATGCTTTGTCTCGGGTCACAAATTCATGCCAGAGCTGGAAATAGAACTTTGTTTTCAGTTCTTTTTATCATCACTAATGCTATACTTTGAAGTTTGCTGTGTTTGTTTACAGGTTTCCCTGATCAGCCACAGTTTTGCCAACCATGGATATGCATATCTATGCTTAATATTCTATATACCCTTTTGGCTACTGTGATATACAGTTTTGAGTAACCACAGTGTTCTGTGGCTGCACATCAGCCTGCCGCCTGCCATTTTTCCCATAAGCCTTTTGTCTTGCCAGCCACAGGAACATTCAGGAACCTAACCCCAGCGGCTGGTGAGGGAAACCTGTATAGGATATAGAACTCACCATCCTTTCTGTATTTGTTGAAGTAGTTCAAGAACATCTATGTGAACGCGAACACCGCCCCCCACCCCACCCATGTAGGAAGTACTGGTGTATTGTCGTGGACAAAAATTCAAAATGTAATGGCATCAGATTAATTTTTTTCATAAAAATACCAGTAGCTGCTAAACGGGGGGTGGGTTTCACATAGTTGCATGTTCTTGGGCTACTTCAACAAATATAGAAAGAATGGTGAATTTAAAAAACTTTATGTACTAGGTGTGGCCTTTGGTATTTTTAGAGTTGGACATTTATCACATATTTAATGTAATTCAGTGTTTGTGGCTATTCAATTCAGAACCTTGCCTGCCTGTGTCCTTGGACAACATGGCTACAACCTATACCCCCATTCAGTATTGCTTGCACTTATTTTAATTAATCATCACTGAACTTTTGACCTAACTATTGTTTAATATCCTTAATCCCGTAGTATTTTTTTGCTGTTTTTACAAGACCCGAAGCAGGGGTGGGCAATTATTTGGGCCCATGGCCCATATAAAGTTTTGGGGAGCAGTTGCAGGCCAGGTTAGCACCTCCCTGTAACAGCTCCCCAGATATCTCTATATAGCTGGCATGGGGTGGCGGCAGTGGGGAGAGGCTGCAGGGCAGTGCCAGTGCAGCCTCCAGGCAGTCATAGCCAGAAGGGCCCCAGAAGTGGCAAATGCTCCTGCTGCCAGGTCCTGCTTTTGCCTGGTGCCTAGCACCAGCCACTGCCACTCATCGTGGACAAGGCTACCCTCCTCTGTCTCCTGCCCCCCCCCCCCCC